TTGACTTAAGCTTCAAGTTCATTTTATAATTCCAATGTTCTACATATTGTCCAGCAGCCTCATCAGCCTACAGCATGGGGTCAATGACATATAGCTCTACAGGTGTGTACCATATAGGGCTGTTATGTCACAAAGCCCAAGTGCTCTCTCTGTAGTGTATAATACATTTTAGAGAATAAATGGTGAGGAGTAGAATTTTGAATCTTTATGAAATAGTATTTAAAATATATGTCATTGACATCAGTATGAAGTTTAAACTATAGCTGAGAATGTACTGAATTTTATCTTAATGTTATTCAACATGCTCAAAACAAAACAAAATATAATGGACAATCTCTGGGAAACCTAAAACATGCTAATATAAATGTTAGCAAATAAAGTGTTAAAGTTTTTTTAAACTTTATTAGAACCAGAGGATAATAAAATAAGGCTGAATACACAATAAAATGGTATTTAAAGATAAGCAAGAGATAGTTCAAGTAATCACCAACTTACCATCACAACTTAAAATAAAACTGAAATCACCTTCTTTATGAAGTTTACATGGACTTCATACAGGTCAGGGGCAACTGTTACAGTAGTATTTATGGCTTGTAAATATTCTGGTTTATCAGACTTATCAAACAGAATCAAGTGTGCTCTTTACAAGAAAGCCTAGAGAATTTAGAAAAAAAAAAAAACACTGAAACCACCCCAAAAATAGTGGTTGCCTGTCATAACACATATCACCTTCTGTTTTAAAATATACATTCACTTTTAATTAGTAAACACTAAAATGTTTGTTTCTAGGTCATTAATAGCTTAAGAGAAACTAGGAACCAAAAATCAAAGTATTAGCAACCACTGTCAAATCTCTAAATTCATAGGTAAGTAGAAAAAGATGAGAGTTCTAAAAAAATCAATTAACATAAACATTATCAAGAATATGTAGCATCAGAGAAATATGGAAAAAGAGGAGGCAGAAAAGAAATAATCTTAGGTAAAGATGAAAAGAACCACAATGCCATATTATCAGTCTGCTATGTGCACATAGCTTCCCAGAGATCCATGGACATGAGACCATGACAGCATTAGCAAAAAGTACAAAAATAGGTTGAGACTTAGAGTCCACCTACCCTCTCATAAATGCCACATCCCAAAATGTAATGATTAGATGGCCAAGTTTCAATATCAAAGGTACACTTGGCATTTGAACTAGATCTAAGAATGATGGTCTTTGTTTTCCAGTAAAAGCTAATAAGCTGAGGTTTGCTTAACTCTTTCCTATGGTGGGGGCAGAGGGGGCAGCTTCTCAAGGATTACTGACATTGGAGACTACATATGAAAAAGATAGCTCATCATTTCCAAAAAAAGATACTTCATCCAGATTGCCCTCCAATCCATGAAATCTGAGATGCCTAAGGAGTCTTCTTTGTGAGGGCCTTACAAATATATCCAAAGATGGTGAGTCCCATATGGCTCTGATAAATGAAACCTATTACTGTGAATTTCAAGCTCTTCTTTAAAACAAAACACTACTGGGTGAATTTGGTGTTCATGAAATAAAGCACTAATTGCGTGGCCTAACAACACCCTGAATCCTCTCCCTAGCAGACATTTTAAGTTGTGCCAAATTGGTTTTGGGATGTGAACAAATATCCCGGAGCCAGACTCTCACATGCACAGCACTACTCCCTGGAAGTAAGTTGGACACTCTGGGAAACTGCATTAACTCTTTCAGGCCACTAGAGAACCTCGCACTAAAAAAAAGTCCTCTTTTAAGATGAAAACAAGTCATTTCATTTAAAGTTAAAGAAAAGTAAAAGGTAAAAGAGTAAAAAATTATTTTTGGCCAGTTCAGTACTAAAGTATCGATAGATATGAGAGAGCCCCTATATCTATACCCCAATGGATGCTTATTCAAATGCATTCAGATATTCTTCTTCTTTTCCTATGTGTGCACAATTTCTAAGACCTTAATAAGAGTTGTGCGCATTCAGAAGAGAATTCCTTTTAAGCTTAATATGCCACATTTGCTTCAGGCAGACTGATAAGAAATTTTTGTTTCTTTGGTAACCACTTCCACCTTATTATAACAGGAAACTTCTCAAATTTTTGTTTTACCACATGGGATATAATTTCCACACTAGTATTTTTTTCTATGGTTTTTCCAACCTGGTTCAGAAAGATGCTTATAACTGTGGAACTGTGTATTTAAATGGCAATTAATCTAATATCATATCCCTTATACTCAAACTTAAGAATAAAAACAATTTTTAAAAGTCCCTAAATGTAAGAAAGCAATTGTAACCACCAGCTTCTTCTTTGTTTCTTTTTCTTTCTCCTAGTCTTAATTTCTTCAAAAAAAAGTAATTTCTTAGGAACAAGTTGTTACTTTTTAAGGGAGTTTTAATTAAGCATTCTTTCTGCAGTATGCTATAAGTAATATATTTCCTCTTTTAGCTCACTGATAAAATATCTTGGATTATATTGGTCCTCAAGGTTACCCCAACTCCACTGGCTATAATTTTATACTTTTAGGTTACTGTCATTCTACAATTTTCCTCTTTCATCTTAAAGGCTTAGTAAAGATACAGATTTTTAAAAACTACTTTTGGGGGGTAGAAAATAACTAAATGCCTATGAAGAAGGTTTTTTTAACCACTTCTAGTGTAAGCCTTCTGTGATATATTTCTTAGAGAACCATATTTAATTTCCTGCCAACTGGTATGAGTTTAAGAGTACTACCAGGAGCCTATGTTCCATTTCTATCAAAGCCTTATATTCTAACAATTAGCCTCTTTGTGCTGCTACATTAAAGAACCACCACCACCTCCTCAGACCCTAAAAGGAAATGAGATGCTAATTCCAAGTAGATAGGACACATTTGGTGAATCAAACATGTGGCTGCTTCTGACCTCACTTCATTAAAACTGCAATTCTTAGAATAGAAATCAAGTCTGCCAATGTGTAAATATGAAAACATATACCAAGATTTCACTGGGGTTTTGAAGCTCTGTATAACTCTTAAATATTCCCTAATAAAAATGTAGAGGGTATGTTGGTATAGTATAATCTGTTCATACCATGTCTGATATGATGGTATCACTTCTAAGTTAGTTACTGGTAACCAAATAAAAGTCATACTGTAGTTGAGTTTGTTTGGTATCTATTGGGTTTGCCAAATCTATTGGGTTTGCCAAAAAGTCCATTTATTTTTTCTGTAAAATAAAAAACACATTTTTTAAAAGATTTATTTGATTTTATTTATTTATCTTCAGAGAGAGAAGGGAGGGAGAGAGAGAGAGAGAGAGAGAGAGAGAGAGAGAGAAACACCAATGTGCGGTTGCTGGGGGTTCTGGCCTGCAACCCAGGAATGTACCCTGGCTGGGAATTGAACCTGGAACACTTTGGTTCCCAGCCCGCGCTCAAACCACTGAGCTACACCAGCCAGGGCAAAAAACACATTTTTAAAAATCTTCACTCATAACTTGATTTGATTTAGATATTTTGGGTATGTCAGCTATCTCCCACTATTGGCTTCCAGTGAGTAGAGGCCAGAGATGCTGCTAAACATCTTCCAATGCTTAAGACAGCCCTACAGCAAAGAATTATTTGGCCAAGATGTCAATAGGACCAAAACACTTCACAAACCATCTGCAATATTAAAATGGCTACACAAAAATTCATCAATTTTGGTTTTTTTAAATGCACCACTGATATGACAGCTGTCACAATACAATCTAACAAAATTGTTTCGAATGAAGTTAAAAACAACTAAGCATTACTAGAGCCATCATACAGAAAAAGCTAAACAAAACTTTTTTGCCTACCCAAACCATACTAATGGCATTAAGAGGTAAATAGCAATACTCATCAGGCACCTCAACATCAAAAGTGTTTTACCTATTTTTTTAAAACAAGTATTTATTATATCAAAGAGACATTGACTCAATATATACTTATAACTTTGACAGAGTGATACCATGACCAAGAAACAATTTTCCCCCAAGATCCAAACAGAGGAGATATTTGGGGCAGTTACAAACCCTTTATGAAAGACTGAAGTTCTGTCATATTTCTGTCAAAGTTCCTTTTCCTCCTTAAACCCATATAATGACATCAATTTAGGAGAAAAAGTATCAAAACTTAGTACATGTTAATTTCAAAAGCTTATGATCAACTATAATCAGAACTTTTAGAAAATAGCCTATCCTTTATTAGGTGCCCCCCACATTTTTCATGTTAAGACCTCTGCCATAAGCTCAGACCCAATTTATTCAGAGCTATTTTTATCTTCTGGTTTCATATTCATTACTTACAATAAAACACAGGCAGAAGCCTTAACATGACACACACTGACCTCACAGTTCACCTAGTTCTGTATGGCTTTAATAGTCAAAGTGTATTTGTTCAATCAGCTTCTAAGCCTGACATTATAAGAAGAATAGCATTTTTTAGATAAGTTAGTAGGGGGGAAAATGGAAAGAAAAAAGAGCAGGGCAAGGATATTACAAGGGCATCTTGATCAAAAGAGAAACTAGACTGTCCAATTGACCTTTTTTATGTACTTTATCAATTATGCTATTACAGTTGTCGTAGTTTTTCCACTTTTTCCCCCATCCACCCAGTACCCCCATTCTCTCCAGCAATCCCTTCCCTTAGTTCATGTCCATGGGTCATGAATATAAGTTCTTTGGCTACTCCATTACCTATACTGTTCTTAACATCCCCCTATTTTGTATCTATCAATTTGTACATCTTACTCCCTGCACCTTTCCCCCCTGTGTCCCCCAGCTGATAACCCTCCAAATAATCTCCATACCTATGATTCTGCTCCTGTTCTGTTTGCTTAGTTTTTTTAAGATTCAGTTGTTGATAGTTGTGCATTTGTTACCATTTTAATGTTCACAGTTTTGATCTTTTTCTTATATAGGTCCATTTAACATTTCATGTAATGGCTTGGCAATGATGAACTCCTTCAGGTTTACCTTGTCTGGGAATCACTTTATCTGCCCTTCAATTCTATGGAATGCTTCACGAATTTGCATGTCATCCTTGTGCAGGGGCCATGGCTAATCTTCTCTGTATCGTTCCAATTTGAGTATATGTGCTGCCAAAGCGAGCACTGCCTTTCAATTCTAAATGATAGCTTTGCTGGATAGAGTAATCTTGGTTGAAGTCCCTTGCTTTTTATCACTTTGAATACTTCTTCCCTGCAAAGTTTCTTTTGAGAAATCAGCTGACAGTCTTGTGAGAACTCTTTTGAAGATAACTCTGCCTTTCTCTTGTTACTTTTAAGATTCCATCTTTTATCTTTAACCTTTGGCATTTGAATTATGATGTGTCTTGGTGTGGTCCTCTTTGGGTCAGTTTGTTTGGGACTCTGTGCTTCCTGGACTTGTATGTCTATTTCCTTCACCAAATTCAGTAAGTTTTCTTTCATAATTTTTTCAAAAAACTTTGCAATTTCTTGCTCTTCCTCTTCTCCTTCTGGCAAACCTATGATTCAGATGTTGGTATGTTTGGAGATGTCCCACAGGCTCCTTATTCTATTCTCATTTTTTTTAATTCTTTTTTCTTCTTGCTGTTCCGATTGAATGCTTTTTTTCTTCCTTATGTTCCAAATCACTGATTTGAATTTCAGCTTCATCAACTCCACTGTTGGTTCCCTGTCAATTTCTCATTTCACTGAACAGAGCCTTCATTTCTGCCTGGATCTTTTCTTAAAATGCTATTGCAGTACCCAATGATTTCTTTGAGCATCCTGATAACCAGTGTTTTGAACTCTACATCTGATAGATTGCTTATCACCATTTCATTTAGTTCTTGTCCTGGAGTTTTGTTCTGTTCTTTCATTTGGGCTACAGTTCTTTGTCTCTTCAATTTGGCAGCCTCCCTGTGTTTGTTTCTGTGTATTAGGTAGAGCTATTCTGAATCCCTATCTTAGTATCATGGCCTATTGTAGAAAAGTCATCAGTAAATTGTCTGGGGTGGAGCCTTAGGTAGTTGACAGGGCAGGGCAATCATTTTGCTGCTTTGTGGCTCTGTGTTGGGGAGGGCTGGATGAGAGGACAATGGCGCTGCCTGGTCTCTGGAGATTGCCCAGGAGGAAGCTGTCTCCCCAGCAATCACCCCCTTACCAGTCACTTCACTTTTCTTCCCTTCTCCCCATATGCCTCTTGTGCCCTCCCAGCTGTTGCCCTGGTGCTGAATCTCAGAGGCAGTAGGTCTGTGTGAGTCCTAAGTCCCTTGTGGGCCCTTTAAGGGAAGTCTCTTGAGAATTCTGCAGTTTCTTCTGCACCCCCCACCCCCGGTTTTTGCTGCCAGATGTTACAGGGACTTATCTTCCTGGTGCTATAATCCTGGACTGAGGGGCCAGGGCTGGGATTGCTGGCTCCCAAGGTAAGCCTCCTGATTTTTATTCACCACATGTGAATGAGGGACTGCCACCTCTCTGCATCTCTATGTGTCTCTCTGGGCCTCTGTGTCTCCACCCCTCCTACCAGTCTGGGTGAATGTGGCTTCTTTAAATCGTTGGTTGTCAAACTTCCATATATCTCAATTTTCTGATGAATCTGGGTGAAAACTGTTTTGCTGTCTAGTTGTAATTTTTGCTGTATAATTGTGAATGGAGGTAAAGAGTATTCACTTACTCCTGTATCTTGGCCAGAAGTCCCAACTGTCTTATTGAAACAATGAATAACTAAGTTCCCAGGACCACCCCCAACATTGTAATCTATTGTGAAACTTTAGGTACACCATTCAACCTTGTTGACTTTTATTTCTTAATTTATGAAACAGGGGTAAAGTTCACAGGCCAACTGCTTTATGCATCCCTACACTGCCTAGGATCTTTTAAAATTGATCCAAAACCTCACCCACATGCCATCAGTTATTTTCCCTCCTTTTTCCTGTCTCCTTTACTTCTGCGGAGAAATAAAATTAGCAGTCAAAGTTAAACAAATCCAGTGGGCAAGACAGGCTTTGGTTTAAGGAAAGGGATGGAGTAAGTTGTGTTAAAGTACTTATTTGGACCCAAAAGGTTCATTGTTGGGATACTACCTCCCACAACTAGCCCCACTGGAATTTTTCTCAGGAAAATGGATAACTGTTTTAAGATAGACATGCCCTTTAAGCTGGTCTCAAATCAAAATAAATTTAGGATATTCAAAAACACCCTACAGGATTTTCCCTGTGGAGCCTAAGTAAATCACTGACCAAATTTTCCAAACTATGCTCTACTACTAAATAGAACTTTATTTTAAAAATGATGTTTTTATGTCTACACCTGAAAAAGGAGTATAGATAAAGTTCTTCAGTTTATATTTTCACCCTTTTTTCTTCATGGTAGCATTCATTCACTTGATAAAATGTAAAAGAATGTCTTTTGGGAAAAGACCACCCTTAAAGAAGAAAGTTGAAATAGAACCCAAATTTCCAATAAACTTGAAAGTCTGCTAATGACAACACTAAATTCTCTAGCTAGTGATTTTCTAGGTTCTTTTTAATGTATCTTTTAACATAATTATAGAGGCATTAAGAATATCCCCAAAATATATGCATACCAAAATATATAAAATCATGACTATTTTCACACCTAACAGATACATTTCAGGGCTCTTTTAAGCTGTTGATACCCTACTGCATTTAAAGTATTGCTAAATCTATAAAAATGTGTAAACATAATGTTTTTAGCACTACATGTACTGGGTAAATGAGGAATTGCATTCTTTTGTGCACTACACTGTGTACACAAACTGTCATTTTATACTATGAGAACATCAGGAATTGCTCAGGAATCAGTTTTTAGATTTTATGAAGCACTGCTGCACTGAGTTTATTTATACTGTCATTGGATTATAAATGTAAATCAATTATTTTAGGACCAATAACAATGGCTATGCCATGAAATTGTTATGTTTCATGGCATGTCATAATAGGTAAGATTTAAATTTTTATTCAAATAATTTGAAACATCAAAGTGTTTCAAATCTCAAATAAAAACATAAACAAAAGATTGTTCGTGTCAACTGACTTCCTTAAGGCATTATTCATTTTTGTTTAAGATTTTATTTATTTATTTTTAGAGAGGGGAAGGGAGGGAGAGAGAAACATTAACGTGTGGTATGGTTGCCTCTCATGTGGCCCCCACTGGGGACCTGGCCCACAACCCAGGCATGTGCCCTGACTGGGAATCGAACCTGCGATGCTTTGGTTCACAGCCCACGTTCAATCCACTGAGCTACACCAGCCAGGGCAGCATTATTCATTTTTAACAACAAACTTTAGAAGGCAAAAAAATTACTGGTCTGATTCAGTGTGGCAAACTGGTTTGTTCCCCACAAAGGAAATGAACTTAAATTCCACAAAGTTTAATTAGCATTTAGTGGCTTCTACTTATCAAATGGAGGAACAACCTTATTCTAGGGGTTAACTGTAAAGCAGAGCCAGAAATTACACATACTGGTTAAAAGCACTAACTTTGCTGTCAAAGTTAGATTGAACCAGAGTTCAGTCCTGGCTGTGCCACTTACTAGATCTTCAACCTTGGGTAAGTCCTGGCTGTGCCACTTACTAGATCTTCAACCTTGGGTAAGTCACTTAACTATCCCACTTATGGCTTTATCTGTAAACGGGGTAAAGAAATACCTCATAGCAGAGGTACAGCAGTTAAAAGATCTGTTAAGACAATGCTCTGTAACAGTTCAAAAATTATGATTACTATTAGTAAGAACCCTTCTGACCACTCACAAAATTTGAATTCTACCTCCAGTTAAAAATTATTTCTCAATGGAAAATGTTTCCAATTTATTTTACATGTTATAAGCAATAATTGTTATACCATGTCAGTAATGCACTTTCAGGCCCTCAAAGCTAGACATTATTGCTTAACATAATAGGAACCTGGTAAAGATTTACTGAATGAGGGGAAAAAGTAATATGATACAGTAGAAAGAATACAGGGTCTGAATCCTGGTTTTCACACTTAACAGCTATGTGAACTTAGCAATTTATTTGCTTCAGATATTTGGCAGCGGGGGATAGGGTATTATCTACAACACAGGGAGAAAATCAGGTATAAAATAGAGTTACTGTGAAGATTAAATTAAGAAATTTATCAAAAGGTGCTTAGCAACTTTTGTTTTCCTTAATTTAAGGGTTATAGGGCAAGAATGGTAATTGCTGCTTTTCAAACCTAAACTTTTCTTACATAGTAGTTTCAACTTTGCCCTTCTATGTAAAGCGAGTTTATATTTAGTTTGAAAATAATATAAATGATGAAGATGAATTCAGGTACAATAGTAAATGTATTTTAACAATGTACCCTAAAAACAAGAGCAGTAATTTTCACACTTTGCAATATTATTAGACCTTATGAAGTAGTTTTTGTAAAATATAGATGCTCAAAAAATAATAAACATTTTGATTTAGGATATCTGGGAGTAGAACCTAAAAATGTACATTGTAAAAGCCCCAACTGATTATGATGTATAATAGCCAGGAAAGTAGCATTTTCAATGGTTTTGGACCAGCTAGAACTCAGGATGCCTTAGTTCCACCCCAGACATATTAGGAGTAGAGCTCAGATATTTGAATTGTAACAAACATCCTAAATAATTCTTAAGCATACTAAAACTTAAGTACTGGACTGGAGTCCAATACTACAAATAAAAAATGTATATACAACTTACTTCATATTTGTTACTTTAAATTTATCACCTTCTACTTTAATATTACTGTCAAAATGAATTATGAATGAAGGGTAAAAAGCTTTATCTAAAGAAAACATTGCCCTGACCAATGTGGCTCAGTTGGTTGGGCATCGCCCACAAAGCAAAAGGTTGCTGGTTCAATCAAGGCACATGCCTGTGTTTTGAGGGTTCAGTCCCCAGTCAGGGTGTGTACGGAAGGCAACCAATTGATGTTTCTCTCTCACATCAATGATTCACTCCCTTTCTTTCTCCCTCCCATCTCCTCTCTCTAAAATTAGATAAGTAATTTTTAAAAAAGAAGATAATAATTTTAGACTCATAAGCATTATTACAGATTTTTAACCCAAAATATAGGAAACTAAGCAAACATATCAAGCCATCTCCAGAGAGCCTACCACTGAGAAGCATCCAACTAAGAAATGCCATGAGTGTCAGTGTTTTTTTAATTTGTGTATTTTACTTTGAGGTTTCTATTACCTATTTCTTTTAATTAGAGCAATAAAAACAGTAAGTGTTATTAAACTGGTATAGGGCTTTATTATTTTAAAGAAATTCCATCTGTATTAACTCATTTTAGGCACTAAATAGACAGGGGAAGGTTAAGAATAGTATAGGAAATGGAGAAGCCGAAGAACTTATTATAAGTGTGACCCATGAACATGAACTGTTGGGGGGGGGATGCTGTCGGGTGAAGGCAGTGGTACAGGGAGGAGAAGGATACAGGGGTGAAAAACTGGCACAATTGTAATAGCATAATCAATAAAATATACTTTAAAAAAATAAAATAAAATTCTCACAATAACACTGTGAAGTAGACAAGAAGGGTTATATTTATTACCATTTTTCTGCAAATCAGAAAATCAGGCTTAAAATGCTTAAGCAACTTGCCAAAGTCATACAGTTTAGTGGTATTTATAGTACTACATGGACTGAAAACTCCAGATGTAAATTCTACGACAAATATCTGAAATTTAAAACTTAGCACTCATTTTCAAGTGTTATTAAAAAAATTCAGAATAGCACAGAAAGGTCTCTAAATTGCAAGCAGTCTCTACTCTTATACCAAAGCATGGGTTCACCTTGCTGTTGAAATCTGTTGTCATTCATTTATTTTTTGGTGAAAAGAATAAAAGAAAATGGAGATAAATTAACCAAAATCAAACTAAAAAATTGAAATCAAACAAAAAATTGGGATGTCCATCAGTTAAAATACTATTTACCCTGTTCCATGTGCAGTTTAACCCTCTATTAAGAATAGTCCCTGAGCCTCAGTTTCCTCTCCTAAAACGTGGGCTATCATATAGTACTTTCAAAGGTTAGCAACGGAATTTTCAGTTATTACTGTACTTTTAAAATCTGTTAAACCAAAAATACAACTAGACTAATACTAACATTTTTCCAATCCTTACCAAAAAACTCAGTCAAAAGTATTGAAGATTTACTGGCCCTGCCTGCTCATTTTACACATGAGAAACAGACCTGGGAAGGTTAAATATCCTACCCAAGAAAACACAGTATATTTCTTGTAAAGCTAGTGCTAGAAATAATGTATCTTTATCCCAAAGTCAACTACAATATAGACTAGTGAATTTGCAATACATTGTTTTCATAATCAAAGAGAAATAGCCATTTTAATGTGAGACAAAGTAAATTTACAAAGGGATGTTTGGAAAGGAGATGGCATCAGATGTTTTTCCAAAGAGAAAATGCTCTAAAATTATTTAAAACTCAAAAATAAAAATAAAGGAAATGAGATATTATAAACCTGCTAGATATAATCATTGATTCAGATCTTGAACATCTGAATGCCTCTAGAGCTAAATTGCATAGAAAGTTCTAGAAGCAGAAGGATAAATAAGACACAGACACCATCCTCGATATGCTTACAAACAATGGCAATACAATGTGAACAGCAACAGTACCAAGGTATGCATATAAGTTGCTCTGAGAATGTACAGGAAGGAGCCCCTCATTGTATGAAACAATTGAGCTAGAGCTCTGTAAGTGATAAGAATTAAGTGAACATCTTCAAGAATCCCTGTCTTCATCATCCCCAATTCTAAATTGAACACATCTCTGTCGGTGCCTGGAATTTATAAGTATTTTTAATATACACTGGCATGAGAGAAGGAGTAAAGTGCACACATACTAACTTCTTGTGTAGTAAAAATTGCCAAACACACCAAAATAGATTTCTGTGCAGCTACTACCAAATCGGAACTTAAAATAATGTGCCAAATTTTTGCAAATGTCCTGTTCTTTCCTTTTCACTAGCTCATGCATCAGATAATCTCACAGCAACAGGGACACAAGGTGGCACTGTGGTGCTGACATTCATTTTGGGACTCTTTCTAAATGGACAGATTGGAAAGAGGCAAAAGGCCCTATTCTGACAACTAAAACCAGTTGTAATACTGGCCTTCTATGTCTACCACCATTAATAGTAGCTGAAGAAGGAACAAATCATTTTGCATTTCATGAATATCACATCATGCCTGTATAAAAGAGAACTATTCTGATAGCTTCTACAAAATGTTATGTGTGTTTGTAGAAATGTCCAAAGACATATAGTGTAGCTTTGTGAGTAGAAAGTCAGAAGTGAGCTGTTTACCATTTGCAAGGCTGTGGACAAGGACCACCTCTCCATCTAGTGGCCAGCGGGGATGAACAGAGCCATAGTAACCATACTGTGCTTCACTCCATTAAAAGCAACCCTTTTATCAAACAATCCATAGGTAAATATGTTACTTTGTCTGACAAATGAGAATTTGGAGGTTATTGCATTCACTGAATCATTAGACTCAATAATATATTGTGACATCTACTTAAGCTAAGGACAACCACCACCAAAAATTCAAAGTATGTGTTGCTTTCTCAGATCACCTAAATTCCCTTTGTTCTTCCACCATTACCAACCTACACAGATATACCTATTTAAAATAAAACCATACATTCTTAAAAAAAAACCTAACAAGAAACTTTTCCCTTCATTTTACAGGCAAGGAAACTGAGGAATAGAAAGATTGATTTATTCAAAATTATGTAGTTGGTTAGGACTAGAAATCAAGCTTCAGATTTAACCACTTTAAATCCTTACTCTTTAGTGTTAATTAATGCCTCCCACACTCCAGGGTAGTGCCTCAATGTTTTTTGTTTGTTTGTTTTCTTACCACATCACACAGTTTCTCTCAACATACTAGGGAAATATTTTCTAAAACTTTTACGCACATTTTTAATGCTAAATTGATAGGATTGAAACTATTGTTTGTAAGCCTTAACACATCTTCCTATTTATGGCCACATTCTAAGACAGGTTAAAAAAAAAAAAACCATACAGCTTTTTTTTTTTTTAACTAACAAATTGTTCACATTCATCGACATTTAGAAAGCAAAGCCGCAAGTGGGCAAGGTATGGCGTGTAACATGCTGGTCAAAACCAATATACAAAAATGGTTCCAGAAAGCCATTTTGTGAAAAGAAACCTGAATTCATTCTGACTTGATAGAAAGTTTAGAGCTGTTTTTTTGTTTTGTTTCATTTTATATAAAAAGTATTTTACTTTAAGAAAACAGACGACACACACACAAACTTATTCGGTCGATCAGTTCATCTGGTTTAATAAAACTCATGATGCTGCTTTGTGATAGGCTTTGGGACTGCCTTGTTGGGAAGGCATCTTATCAAAATGAATAAAATCTGTCTACAACTATGAAAATCTGCTCACAGCTCCAAACCCAAGGCTTACAAGGCAAAAGGTATGAAGAACACCTGGCAGTGAACGTACTGGAAATGTAAGCTCTTCTATTTCTCTTTCTCTTCTATTTTATTTCAGTAGTAGCACTGGAATCTGTCTTGGAGTGGAGAAGGAATTTAGGCAGATCTGCTTTGGTCAGACATAGGGAGAAGATAGTGCTGTGTCAAATAGGTCAGGCAGCTTTTATTAAGGGTTGGGGAAAAGTCTTTTTCTTTCATTATACTTACAAATTTAGAAGCTTCAAAACTACCCACTCCCTCTACCCCCTGCTTTACTTATATCCTCATCTCCATTTGCTTCTTGGTCATCTCTCTTCTCCCCTCTAGGGATGAGGTGAGAGGATAAAAGACCATTGTTGATTTGAGGAATCAGAAAAAGTAAGAGTTATTCCAGTTCTTTTTGCCCAATCCAAAGCCCAGGTGATGGGTGCAAATAACTAAGAAAATAAGCACATTAGTAAATATGTGCAGAACCAAAGTACATTTACTGGCACAAAGGAATTTTAGCATGTCAAGAGTTAAAAAAAGAAAAAGAAAAAGAAAGAAACGCAACAACAACAACAAAAAAACATTATAAAGCCACCCTTGTGATTATATTTGCCTAGTTCACATTTGAACAATAACAGAGAGGACCATATTCTCACTGTTTAAATGCCTTGGTGTCTAAGAGGTTTTGCTTGTTTGCAACAGACATACAGTTTTCATATACATATATACACCTACCAGAAAAATTACACAGCCTAAAACATTGGTAGCTTTCTGCTAGTAATAGTAATAATAGTTTTTTACAAAGTTTTAATCTGGTACCTAAACAAACTGACAACATTACCTTAATTTTCTCCCAGTTGCATTTCATTTACTGGAAGGCATCTCAGATGATAAAAGGAATTTACCAACAACAAATCACAATTTGACTACAATAGTATTTCCGAGAACATTTCTGAAATTGGAAAAATAAAAATAGAAAATATTTAGGCTCATTTAGTAAAAAGAAAAAATTAAAGCCTTGTAAAGATCAGAGATAAAAAATTTTAAATAATTTAAATTCAAAACATGTCTTTTTAAAAAAATTTTATTTATTTTTAGAGACAGGAGAAGGGAGGGAGAAAGAAAGGGAGAGAAACACTGATATGTGATGAGCTGCCTCTCACACACCCCCAACCAGGGACCTGGCCTGCAACCCAGGCATGTGCCAGGACCAGAATCTAATCTGCGACCTTTGGCTTTGCAGAACCATACCCAACCCACTGAGCCACACCAGTTAGGACCAAACATGGTTTTAAAAAAAAGTTTAGATTAAGAATTTCTAAAGAACAAAATATTATTACGTATGAGTTATAACTACTGCCATTTTTAGTTTCAATTTATTGGAAATCTTAATTTTCAAAATCTCCAAACTCCAGTAAGTAGTTTTCTATTAATTAAATGCAAATCATTACATTAGTTATATAATATGGAAAGTTTTCAAATAAATTCTTAACATTCTAAATGCCCAACTGTAATATGTATGTTACCTTCCTATTCTGAGACAGAATAATTTGGTGACAACATGACTTCTAGTATCAAGAAGGTAAACACATTATGTTATAATTACCACCCTCTCCAACAAGGTTTCAAAGGTAAGTCTGACTATTAAGAAATTAATAATAGTATCTTCAGTTCCCACCTGGTAACTAGATTTGTCAATTAACTCAACTTTTGCTTACCTTGGTATTCTCACTTGAAAGTAAATAGCTGACTTCCCCTAAATGAAAGCAATTATATAATCTTTACATTGGTTAACTGAACTACAAAACACCCTGGGCTGAAGTTTCAGTTGAGTGTCAAAAAAGATTCCACAAAGGCAAGCTCCATGTCCTCAAGCTGATTACTTTCAAATGAACTGTAGAATCACAACAAGGTTTGATTCTGCAGTAGTACAGAGGGTATGAAGCCAAAGTCAAGCATAATTTTTCCACAGTTCAGAAATAGCATACTACTTACTCGTTATTCCACCTGAATAGCTAGAGTGTCAGAAAAGCCCTTTTCCTTACAGGCCCTTGAAAGTTGTTTCCAACATCTGCTGTAGTGGTTATATATACATGATAGTAATAATAGAAGGCATTTTTTCTCCCACAGCCTCAGAAGTTTGCCTATGTTGAAATCACAAGTAAAAGAGCTCCAGATATATATATATATATTTATAATATATTTATATATAAATGTATATTTATATTTATAAATGTATTTATATTTATGCATTACAAATGTATATATTTATACATTTTAAATATATGGCATCAGTAGTTTTGGTGAGTAAATATATGGTATCTATGTTACAGGAAAACATATGAATTCAGGCATTCCCCAGAATTTCTAGGGTATAGATATGACCGTAGGGATTTGGGTAAAGAATTAAAAGGATTTTCCTAGTTATTTGAGATTTGTGCTAATCCCTGAGGATTCTACAAAATGCTAGAAAATACTTAAGAATGCCAATGCATGTAACACAGGTTTTCAAGAAAATTATAAGTTTCAAGTTTTGCCAAATATCCAGGAATCCTATACATGATTTGAAAGTTTGGAACAATGAATCATATAACCAATGCTAAGTCTAGTAGCATTGTAAATAATACCTAGTACTTATAAAAGATAACCACTGACTTATACAATATGAAAAAAAATCATTTAAAAGGGTTATTTTTTAATTCACTAACTCTTGCAAGTACATACTTGCTCAACTACTAGTGTTTATTATCCTTCATTTCAGGTATATTGTTCCTATGTAAGTAATACTTTATTTCTATAATTTTCTTGCAATAGTTACACAGCTGTACAAATGAAAATATTCAGAACTTCTTTGCTGTGCTATGTGACTTTTCATGCCAATTAGATCCTCACTGATTAAGGAACTTAGGATAGGCATACCATTTTACTTCTTTTATAGAAGTTCAGTAAAGTATATTTTCCATTGAAAAATAGTTTGTTAAAATACATTTCTAAAGTGGCCTCCAAAACTAGTCAGCTCCAATACTCACTATCAATTTTTAGACCTAAAGAGGCTACCCTTGGGACTGAAGAAGAATGGAACTAGCGGCATTCAAAGAATGTCAACATCAGTTCTTCCATTGCCAGAATGGATCAGTAGTTAGCATTATCAGTCACATGCTGATCCCATATATATTGCCAGGCCCTGGAGTAACACATTTGCTCAGGTTCTGAACCTGGTTGGGCAAGTCCATACACACATCCAGTGATATTTCTATATTTATAGAAGGCCAGAGCATGTGTAGATAATCACACAATTGGATATTTATGAGGTGCCAGATTTTATGAATACAGGAATTTGTTAATTAGCACAAGGACTAATCATTAAAATTCAAAAATAGATAAACAAGAATGTCATTTATTGTTCACATTTCAGGAGAAAGTATGCAGCTGCTATCCTTTTGATGAATGGCTTCTGGAGAAAAATGTGAAAAAGAAAAGTATCTGCAAGTTTTAAAATCTTAATGATTAAAATCCAGGAAATTATTATATAGTCTTTATATTAAAAATAATCATAATGATTCTCCCCTTAATTTAAAAAAAAGTTTAAACCAGCATGTGCTTAGCATTTGAATTATACTGTCTTGCATTCATCTGTTTTTGGACCTTCTTGAGTTGATGCTGATTTTTATCAGATAGGAGTTAAAAAAGTGCACACACGTCATTAAATACCAAATTCTTTTAGCTACAGGGCATGGCAAAGCATGAAATAACTGCTTTAGAGCACTTCCTCATGTGGGTGTGTTAGATAACTGTCTGCTCCAACATTAAAATGAAACACAGTGTGACCTGACCAAGACTTCTCAACAGGCAGATCTCATGTGCTGAAAGAAGAGCCCACCATAACCAGCAAGGCTGGTTAACGAATTTTTCTGGCACTCTTACAGCCCTCCTATGATTCAAGCCTTTCAACTTTCCAAACCCCTATACAGCAGAGCATACTGGTTTTAAGTTTATTTATATATGAAATAAAGAACAAACTGACAGAAACCAGAGGGGAGGGAGGAGGGAGATAATGGGGAAAGAAGGGGAAGGGTCATCAAAGAACATGTATAAAGGACCCAGGGACAAAGAGGGGTAGGATTGAGGTGGGAGGTGGGGGTGGGTGGGGCAGGGGGAAGTGGTGGCAGGAAAATGGAGACAAGTGTATTCAAGCAACAATAAAAAAATGCTTAAAAATAATAAAAAATAAAATAGAGTTATATACATTTTAGAATGTCCTTCTAAGTTTAGATTGTGACAGTCCTTCCCAGAAAAATGCCATGATTATTTTTCATAGTGAAAATATTTTACATCTACTGAAGGCTAAGAATTTAATTCAGAAGAAAACATGTATTCTAAAAATCAAGCCAACCTGAATATGATTAAATTTTTACTTTTATTCTTTCTAGAAGGTTAAAAGAAATTTTTATCTTCCCTTAAAAGCCTCTCCGCTTTTTGTTTGCTTCTGGTTAAAATAAATAAGCTTAACAATTAATTTTTAAATGTCACAACTGAAAAAAATCTGTGATTCCTTCATCCATACATCTATGAGAATATGTATATAAGTGCACATACAAGCACACAGACACCTCCACACATGCATGTGTACAGAAGAGAGAACTGTTGATCAAGAGATATATGAAATTTTTCTCTTGGAAAACAGGCATAGAATTTTAGATAGTACTCATCATGTTAATACAGAAAATGACAGGTACATGACACATGCACACTTTTGACATATTAGTTTTTAAACAAATTTTTGTGTCAAGAATCTGAAATAGAGAAAATCACATCTGAAACACCATATACTGTGTAACCTCTATTAACATACACTTTCAACTAACTCCCCACAAAAGCTCCCTTTTAGGAAAAAAATCTCTGATAAGACCTGACTGAGTATACATAGTATTTGTACTGCTCTTGGTCAAAGCTGGCACTTCAAGCTTAGAAGACAGTTTAACTGATAAAAGCAAATTAAAAGTCTGTAAATAAATTTTTTAAAAGAAAGGGAAAAAAAGACTTTTAGAAGCAAAAGTTCACCACCCACTTGGAATAATGGAGTTTTAATAAACATTTTACTGGGTTTAAACCTTGAGTATGTGTTTGGGAATCTGCTCTGGTGTCCCAGGTGGGTTAAGAATATTGCTTTATGGACTTTGTGTTGTCAGAGAGGCCTAATGGAATTAAAAAAAAAAAAAAAGTCTGCCACTTCTATTAAATAAATAATTTATTTAAAAAAAGATGACTGTGATTATCAAAGATCTCTATAAAGATCAGTATCCATTTTCTATCATTGTTCATGTATATGCTGAAAACATTTCTGTACCTTACTATCTGACTTAATTTTTATCAAATGAACAGCAGTTTACTTCTGAACAAATCTGAATAAAACTCAATTAAGAAATCCATTTTAAATAGACCTATTTACTCTTGAATTTCAAACTCTGTTCTGGGAAAACTCTTCAACAATGTCTACTAGTTGTGAAATTCAACTTTTCCCACCACAGAAAAGAAAAAATATAAAGGGGAGGAAAGGCACTTCAAAACTATGTTTGAAATAACAGATATATTATTTATAATCCCTAAAATGTTAAAAGAATACTTACAGTGGTTGCACAAGATGGCCTGATACACTTCATAGCTTCCACTTTGTAAAAAGATAGCCAGCCCCCCAACCTCTCTCTCCCCAAGTAAAAATAAACAGTAACATACAAAAAGGAAACTGTCCTAGGATAAAAACTGCTTAAGAAAGTTTGCATTCTTACTAACCACAGTGATATCCCTATAAAAGTCCATCTGCAAAATAAAAGTTACAAAACACAGTACCTTATTCCTTTCGAAATACACCCCCAGATGTAATATAGAAGTGTGTGATAATAAAAATAATTACTAGATTCTCACCCACCATCAGTTAGTACCCATCACATTATGACCAATGCCATCAAATAAATATACTGGCAAAAAGTATTCAACCTGCTTTAAGGATTTAAGCTGTAAATATGGACTTTAAACTACAATATAAAACAAAGAACAAGAGTCTCACTTTAGTAATACTCACACTGACACTGCAGCTAAACTCATTGGCATATAACTAACAAAACCCAGTTAGCAATAAATAAGGACAACATGACATATAGACAGACAGATGGAATTGCATAAACAGACAGGAAAAGCAAAGAGACTAACAAACATACGGAGGGGCTGGTTTTAGAAGAGTGAAAGATACTGATTTATTTGGTAGTTTAGTGAGAAAAATAGGTTTGTTTTTAATTATTTTTAAAGTAATTAAACTGAATCACAAGAGCACACCCTAAAATAAGTAGGAAGAAAATTAGCAAAGGGTAGGCCTCCTATAGATGTTCCAAATTTTAAGCTAGCAACAGCTCTGTCAAACTTAAATCTGGAAATTAAAATCCAAGGAAGAAAGAATAAAAGCACTGGGGGCTAAAGGAGATGATAGGTGGAGGGGGGAATTGAGGACGCAGGATTTTTTTTTTTATGAAAGTTATCTGCCCTACCTTCTTCCCCAGCGCTGAGTTTCTCTTCTCATAATCGGTGTCTCCCTGGAAGTACAGTGTGAGTGGTAATGACTGCCTGCCTCCCTAATGAGTCCATTTTCCTGCTCTTGATGTTGTGTATATACACACACTGCAACCTACCTTACAAACCACAGAGACGGGAAGAGAGAGAGAGAGAGAGAGAGAGGGAGGGAGAGGGAGGTGGCAGAGAGGGAGAGAGAGACAGAGACAGAGCAAGCGAGTGAGAGAGAGAGAAGAGGAGAAAGAAAAACAGAAAGAAAACAGAGAAAGGCACAGACAAAGCCCTCCTACCAGACAGCAGACAGCCTTCCTTCCCCTATTCAATAAAATGCAACTCGTCTAATGCAGCAACAGGTTCAGTATTGACAGACTAACAGAGTGAAAAAAGGTATATTCTCTATATCATTACTGCTTGCAAATAAACAGTTTAAGAGCAGCTGGCTCCACCTTCTTTATTTATACTCCATTATGAGGAATGTATTGTTTCAGTTCTGGCACACAGTACATGTAATTATCATAAATACATTTTTTTGCATATTAGCAGCAAATACTGAAATACATAACTTACTTGTGTAATCTTTTAAATTTATTTTTTTTAATGTGAGAGGAGTGTCAACAAATCTGCTCTGACAAAAGCCTACTAATAATTTTAAAGTCAGAGCAGTCTTAGAAGAGGCTCTGAAAAAGAGATTCCATACAATAGGAAAACTGATCTCAGACAAAACTGGTAACTGCAAAGAAGAAATCATTGCTCAGTAAATAAGTCAATGCCATAGCAAAACTACAGACAAAAACAGAAGTTTAATTAAGAACCTAATGGACTAGTAGGTTAGAAGAAAGCAGACTGGATTCTTATTTGAAGCACCTATCTGTACAAACATCACAATGCAATGCACTCTGTGTGAACAGGTGCAAAGCATATAGTACACAGTGTTACAGTAACAGAAATAAATCCCGTAAGGAGCTTCTATCACAAGCAGGACATGATTTCATATAATACGGGTGTGGAACTGTAAGAAACCCCTTGTCCTTTTATAAAAAAGGAAAATTAATTGAAATGTCTAAAAATAAACCATCCTTAAAAGGGAAAAAGTTTTTTCTTTGCCTGATACCACTAACGAATTTTTTTTCACATGCTATAATCAAAATAATATTACACTCCTCACCCCATCAAGTGCTTCCTACCCGCCTCCCCCTACTCCCAGGTGCCTTTCTCCTATAAGTAATATATTTGTAGCTCTGTAATTACAAACATCAGAATGTAATTATGAACATCAGAAAATGGAACTAGTTTCAAACCCTTCCGTTTGTCCCCAAATTTTTTAAAACTAGACTCTGCTTGTTTACCTAGACAACATCTTACTTAAAGTATTTCTATACAGTTTAACTATGAGTCATTTAGATGGGACTTAGAAACATTACAGTAGATGTTAAATATTTTTTTAAAAACTTACATAAAAATATGAGTGGGTATAACCTCAAATCCTGCATTTAAGCATCATTAGTTAATTGTATATTAAGTATATTAATTATAAAATCATCCTTTTTATATGGTTTAGTGTGTTACCATGCTTCAAAAATTAGAATGTGTTCCTTTGCATAAATAAAACTACTTTATTACATAAGCATCAATTAAAAGTAAGTATTTAACCTGGAGAACATTATGTTTAAGTGAAATAAGCCAGTCAGAGGAAGATAAATACCATATGATTTCACTTATATGTGGAATCTAATGAACAAACTGAACTAACAAGGAAATGGGTACAGACTCATAGATGAAGAGCAGGATGGCAGCTAGTGGTGGTGCAGGGGAGGTTAGGGAGTGGAGGGATTGAGCAAAAAGGCAAAAGGACTCATGCACATGGACAACAGTATGGTGATTGCTGGGGGGAGATGGTGTAAGGGGACTAAATGGTAATGGGAAAAACAATAAAGATTCAATTTAAAAAATAAAATTATTGTATCAAGAAAAAAGTAAGTTTTCAGATAATAACTTTAGCTTAATTACCTCAATATATGACATAGATCAACTATGTCATCTATTCACAAAAATTTTTTAGAATGTCAGTGAAATCTTGGGTCATGTTCAGAACAGAAATTAATAGTTTTAGCTTTTTTAAGGGTGGACAATGTATAGCAGAAATTAGTAGGCAATGTCCAGCCTCACATTACACAAACTGTCCTGGGAAAATGCTATCAAGAAACCAAGAGTCCAGACCCTCCACTCACATTGTAAACCACCAATTCCAATTCTCTGGTGCTGCAGTTGTGTTTTATCCCTCTGCAGGGCATGTGCTTAATCAAGTTGGGGCAGACACACACGAAAGGGGATGTAATCAACCCCTACTTTTGGTCACGCGTCTTGAGAAAAATCTTTCTATAATAGACTTAGTGTGCTGAAGGCACCAGCATGAATCTCGTCCCTTACTGCCCAGCCTGGCAGTTCAGGTTTTCTACTATTGCCCTACTGTTTCTCTGAAGCTTTACTGAAATGTAAGAAGAAAAATGCTACTGTAAAAAGTAGACAAGTCTCACAGTTTGACGGATTGATTCAAATTAAATATTAGTATGCCATGACTTTTTAAAATACAGTTCTAGGTATTTTTGTTTTGTTTTAAACCAAGGAGAATAAGAAAACAGTATTTGATTACTACCAGCAGGAGTGAAGACCATAAGGCTATTCACTTTTCCTAAAGAACAACTAGTTAGTTGAAAAATGCACATCTCAACAGTTTCTCCACATCTTTATTAGATTCTAACCACAATAAGTGACACATTCTTAGTACTTTCTGGAGTTCAAGATACACTCTCTCTGCTGGGACTGGAGACCCATTATTGAATTAACTATAGCACCACATGAAATAATCATCTTAGATGACTGTATCAGACTCTGGAAGTCATAAAGTTATTAAATTGTTTAGTATGTTGACATGCCATGAGGCAATTTCATCCTGTAGACAGAGCAATCCTAAAGTAGAAGTTAAAAACTAGTATTGTTCTCAGCATTACCAGGAATAGTCTGCTTACCCTGGGCAAGCCATGTAACCATCCTTAGCTTCCATTTCTTTATATAACAAAACAATAAAGTTAAATGTTAAATGAAGGAACTGAAGTGGACAGCATAGTAATTAGGATGATGATAGCTAGTGTTTAGGTGCTTACTATGTGCCAGGCACTCTTCTAAGTACTTTCCACTTTTAACTCATTAAATACAAATAATAACCCTATAAGGTATATTTTTTAGCTGCATTTTCCAGACGACAAACAGAGAGGTTAAGTGATTTGCTTAAGATCATACAGCATAGCAAGCAGTATTAGGATATGAATCCACCTTTCTGGTTTACAGCTCATGTGCTTAATCCCTTATGTCATACTGTCTCCCAATAGCTAATTATAAATAAGGGCCAGCCATAAGATTCTGTGGGTATGAGTTAAATCCAACATATCTTGATGATTCCTCACCCTACCTTGACTATTAAAACAGCATAATACAAATTTGCCCTTATAAACTTATACCCAGAACTCTTAGTATACTTAGTTCAAGTTTAGCAACAATATTTAAAAGTTTGTATTATACATTCAATCACCTTTATCACCAAATATCTATAAATATGTGCTTTCATTTGCTTGAGCTGGAAAATAACCTACAATCAATAAAGTTTACAATTTATGAAGCCTACTTGCATTATATATAGTTCCAAAAGATTATTCTCTGAATGCCATGTTAAGGAAGAAAAAAACTCTATAAAGTTCCTTAGTTCAAGTTTCATAGCAAATACTAATGTGATTATTTAAAGAACTAAATATTAAATAAAATACAATAAAAAATGTCCTGTTTCCCATAGCATAAAAAGGGGCATAGAAGAAGCAAAGATTCAATTACAAGTGATTTGTAAGAGATGCTGATTTCATACAATTGGTGTTAACTTTGAATTATCCAGAGATGTGTTTTGAAGACTGAAAAATTCATTCTGCAAGAAAGAATTTACTCTTGCTCTGGTCACTGTGCATTAAATAAACATATATTGTGTGCCCACTACATGCATTTTAAAACTTCACAGGCTAGTGGGGAATAGGCATGTAAATATTAGTGCAAATAATCTTGCCACTATACGATGTGATATCCCATGTAATGCCTTAAACTTTGTGCCCCTCCCTCAACAAGTTAAAAAAATTCAACAAAATAAATAGAAATACCTAAATTTAAAACACGGCTTATGAAAGAGGTGAGTGTGGGTGTGCATGCGTGCCTGCATCCATTCCTGGGGCAGGGGGAGGTTCTGAGGTTAGATTGTAGTTCGTTTTCTAACAGTGTCATTTATAGACCCTTTGAGTACATTTTATCTGTCCCCAATGTGTCCAGTAAAGTGTCTTCCACAAGTATACTCAGGGCATGTTCTTCTTAAATGACTGTAGAAATCAGTGATAGCTATTGCCCTGGAAAATAAAATTTCATTAATTTTAGAGGTACAATGTACTGTACTTTAACCAGAGATTGGTGTCTTGCGAAATGAATACTTCCAAAAGTACAATACTTAAAGGGTAAGGTTTTTTTTTAACTTTGAAAAAGAAAGTTAACTAACTTTCAAAACTCTTTACCACTATTCTAAGTATACTTTTGCCAAATACCTTCTCAAGTATCATTAATGTTTTAGTTACCTAAAGCTGAACAGGAAAACTGCTGGGATAGTTTAAGACTGTGCACAAGAACATTCCCAAAACATATTTTTATTGCCCAGATTAAAAAGATGAAGGAGTAAAAGTAAGAGTATGCTGCAGAGATGGCCAGGACAAAAGTTATTAGCTCTAGTAAATAGGTGGAAAAGCAAAGTCTGGGATTAGTGGAACAAAATCAATTAAGTGCTACACGAAGCACTGGCTTTGTAATTAAGGCCACCATCCTAAAGTCAATTTGATGTAGCCTAGTTACAAATAATCCCTAATCTTGGTTTTAAAATTGTATCCCATCAGTCCTTCCCAAAAACTAGGAGTGCAGATAAATCATAGTTGACTAATTGTAGGTCAGTAATATGATTCTAATGTGAGAAGAGAT